ATTGTGAAGCCAAGAAAAATGCCTTTTGACTTGAAACCTCAAAAGTCAAACTTGAAAGTCAAAAGTCAAAAGTCAAACTTGAAAGTGAAAAGTCAAACTTTAAAGTGAAAGATGAAGGTCAAAATTTTTGTCCAAAAAGAATAACCTTGACCGAAAACAAAAGTTTCTTGGCTGAAAACAAAATTTCAAGACAAAAAACGAGAGTATTTGACCAGAAACAAGGGTATTTGACCGAATACGTGGATTGTTTACCAAATATGAAGCTTTAGAACCGAAAACAAAGTTATTTGATCGAAAACTTGGCTTTTGGACTGAAAACAAGCCAAAATCTTGAAAATCCGAAATTACAGCAGAGGATGCGAGGGGTTAAATATCCAAATCGAGAACATGCTGAAATCGAGAAAAACCTAGCAGTGGAGCTGCCAAGTGAATGTGAGACCGAAATCGTGGAAGCGAACCGAGAATGTGAGACCGAAACCTTCGGGTCGATAACTTGCGAATCCGCCAGAAATCACTGTTGTGCCTCTGAGATCCTCTAGGGTTGGAGTGAGGACCGAGGAGTGCCGGCAAAATCAAGCAAATTTCGACCAAAAACACCCAGAACTTGCCAAAAACACGAGATTTTCAAATCTTTAATGTCAAACTCGATCAAAACTCCAAAAATATGAAGAACACGAAGAACAAACAGCCAAAAATTTGTACAAAAAAAATTCAAAAACACCTGAAAATCCAAGAAAAAATCCAAGAAACTCTTAATATCTTAATAAGTCGATTGATATCGATCCAAGCTCTGATATCACTTGTAAGTCCCCAAACATTACGTATCAATCAAATTTCACTATGATGGTGCATAATCTAAATCAAGTGAATGATGCAAGATATAATATGGAATAAGAACAAGATGGTTAATCTTTAATGCACACTATTATAGATGAATCGTTGGGTACATAAAATTATTGATTACACTTTGATTTCTCTCTGTTACTTTCTAAATCACATTCTTGGCTTATGGCAGCCCCCAAAAACGTCTCACTTCCATTACTATTTATACCTAGACCTAATAACCAAAGCCTAACCCAAAAGCTAAATAAGACAATATTAAGCCTAACCGAAATCACATGTGATTTCGGTCCAAACAACACCAAGACATGGTGTTTTCGGTCCTAGATCGATAACTTTAATAGCTTATGAAAAGCAAAGTATAAACCACAATTTAATAGTCCAAGGTATCTAGGTATCCTAAGTTAATACTCACATCACCTTCCTGAATAACAAAGGAGTGGGATGGGGTATCACTATTTCGATGCTGACGGGTATGCCTGTGAGGCATATTTCGGGTCAGTGGGTAGGGACAGGTTTTGCACAATTTTCATCAAATAATCATATCAAGCAACTACTCCCAAGCAGATACACAAGATTACACAAATATATGATATAAAATAAATAGTTTCAGTTTCAGAGAGAATATACCTGACTGCATGCTGCTAAGCATTAGCGTATTTTTCGCATCCGATTTTTTTTTTTTTTTTTTTGTGATTTCTCAAATTTTGTTCGCATGAAGCTCTTCTAATCTATGTTTGGAGCAAACGTTTCAAGTCCCGGGGGTCATGCCGAGTTCTAGCGATGCGTAGATTAGAAAAAAAAACTTGCAAATATTCTAATTTCAAAATAAGAAAACGGAAGTTTTGGTGAATTTCAACTTTAGAATCACGTTTCTAGTACCATAAGAATGTATTAGAAGTAAAAAGGAAGAATTTGACACCTTACTTGATTGATTTGGACGAAAAATAAACAAATTATGCGGGTTTTTGTGGGTTTTTATTTTTTAGAGAAATGCGAAAACAGAGAGGGAGGAAGTCTGGAATATGCAAGTGTGAGTGCAAATAAGGGTTGCAATCGGTATTTATAGCAAAAATCACAAAAATCTACGATTGCATAAACACAACCTGCGATCCCATGTTTTCACATTTTTATTGAAAACGGGTTTAAAATCTTCAACGATCATATTCGAACGCAAATACAAAAAATTTCGATCGCATCTTGGAACCTGCAATTGCATAAATATAGATTCTGATAACAGTTTTTTATTTTCAAAAATCTGGATGGAAATCCTCGAACCTCTCCTACGAACACATATGTGATCGCATGTTTTGAAAAAAAAAAGGATTTTTGACAAACTTTTTAACGCAGGCCTCTCTCTGTTTTGTTTGTTTGAAAAACACGATTCAATTAACTAAGAAACAAACCAAAAAAGAATAAAAATAAGTCACAAAAAGAAATTAAAACTTCAGACACTCGGGTTGTCTCTCGATAAGTTGCCTGTTTTTACTTTCATTGGCTCTACGTTGATACTTGGTTCCTTCTTTTCCTACCAGCTTCATCCATTCTCATATTAAGTTTCGTGACAACTCAATATGCTCAGTGTTCTAACTCCACGGGAAGTAGACACGGTTTCTCAAAAATGTTTCGATAAGGCAACATTCCAATTTGTCACACCCTCGGCCGCAGGCAGAAACGTCGAGGTGCGCGACGTAAACCAGTAATCATAGTTATTGAACACACATTGGATAGTACAAACATAATCTTTTGTTATTACCAAAATAGAAATTACATTAACAAGACCATTGCTAAATCGAGACAAACGCCTAACAATTCGGCATTTACAAGGGTGTAATAAAGATAACGGAGAGCCTTCAGAGCAAACGCTTCCGACCATCTAAATAATCTGAGAATACATGAATTTAAAATATGTCAACAAAATTGTTGGTGACTTCTATAGTTTTTGACATGAAGTATTTTTATGATCAAAACTATTTTATAAAATTTATTTGGTTGACTAGTTTTTATAAAATACACACCTTTCTATCAAAAGTATAAGATAATTGAGTTATAATAATGTATTTGGTCTCATTTAGAAACATATGATGCATTAAAATCCAAAGTTTCAAAATTTGGCAAAATACATATAAGTGAGTCAAACTTATATAAAAAATTATATGGTTCTCATGACCAATTTTTTTTATATAAGGATTTTGAGTGCCAATTTATATAAAATAAAGTCATATCCCATCTTGTGAAAACACAAAATAGCTAACTTTACTGTAGAAGTCTTGTACAAGCATTTGTACAGTTTATATGTAAAACTCATAAGTTTCGAATTTATAAACTTTGAGTTAAAACAAAGTCCGGGACTATTTTTGTAATACTTTAAGTTATTGAATTAATTTATATTTAAAAATTTGTTTATAATTTTGTTAACCCAAATGACTATTTTTCTGATAAATTATATCCAAAGGGCCATTTTTGAAGTGTTTAAATCATTTGGGACCTGCTTTGAAAAGATTTATGTCAAGTGGCTGATTTTAATTTAAAGCTAAAACTAGAGGGATTGTTGTTTTTAATCTGATACAAAATTTGGGTAAAAGGGATTGATGCATCGTCTTCTTCATTTCTCATCATATCGAGAAAAAGAAACGAGAAGGAGCAGATAAATCAGAGTTCTAGAAAACCATAATTGGTGAGAATGGTATTGGGGCCGATCTCTGCGACCTTCAGTTTCGATTTGGTCACCTTATTCGTCTTTTTGTTTGATTAGAGAAGAAAAGGGAACGAAAGCAAAAGAATGGTTCGGTGGTGGTGGTTTTCAACAGTAATGGTGGCGGGGGGGGGGGGGGGGGGGGGTTGCTCTGGTGCTCCTCATGTATCATCTTTTCTAGTCCGTTTGATAACCACGAACGAAGAAGGAAGAAGCAACAATAGGGGGTGTTTAAGTTGTTTGATTGACAGGGAAGAACGATAGATGAAGGGTGTGGGTTTCTCCGATGATGAACCGTAGTAGTGATTAGTCTCCGACGAGCCTTCCTTGATGCATTTGGTTCGTCGTCAGCCACAACTCGAGTAAAATGGGAGCACATCGACATCAGTCGATATTCAGGGGGATCGGGTGGCTCTGATTGATGAAATTGGCAGTAAGGGAAGGGTAGATGGACGGAGGTGATGCAAGTGGTGGTTTGCGAAGCTAAAAACGGTAAGTAGAGGGTGACAGTAAGCATCTCCGGTGAGTCCTTCGTGGCGCGTGCTTTGTCGGTGACTACTATCGGAATGAAGAAAACGAGTTATAGCAGATTGAGGGGGTTTTTGGGATGGTTGTGTGATGTGCTTGAAGGGTAGAGGGGGGGGGGGGGGGGGGGGGGGTGATTCACTCTTCTGGTAGCTGATTGCCACCTCCGGTGTGGTTAACAGTAAGGAGAAAGAGAATGAGATGTAGAGAGAGGGAGGCTAGAGAGGGATTGAAGAAGCCATTGTAAAGAAAATGATAGATTCAAATTTGATGTAGATGTATTTTTTTTAAATTAAATGATAACACACACACACACATATATATATATATATATATATATATATATATATATATATATATATATATATATATATATATATATATATATATATATATATATATATAGAGGTTAGGTTATTTTGTTTCTAGTAGCTATTATGTGCCAGAATGCACAGATCTGGACCATCGGATGGAATATAATCAAAGGTAATGACCTGAGGGTCTATGATAGTAGAATAGGATAACATATACCATATAATCAATTAAATTTCAGGATAAGGGCATTTTAGTTAATTAACCTATATTAAAAAAGGAAATTTTCTGATTTTTAGGGATAATTAATTCCTTTATTTTTAAAAATATGAATATTTTAAATTAACTCAAAATTAGAAATTCGATTTTATTCTATCAGAATGTAATAAATATATTCGTCGATTATATTCTGTCAGAATGACATAATACCAACCATAAACTACTAAATGCATTCTAAAAAGAATACAAAAAATCAATTCTTGAACTAATAATATCCAAATAATTACATTGTATGATTATGATTCATTGAATAATAACAACATTCTGAAAGAAAAAAGAAAAAAAAAACATCACAATCTAACAAAAACACTAATCTATTCTAATAGAATATTATTTTTTTAGCAAGACTTTATACATTGTAGCATAACACATTCTGGTATAATACACTCTCGTTCTCTATGTTTTCTTCCTTCTCCTCATCAATGTTAGCCTCTTCATAACCTAAATCCAAAAAAAAAAAAAAAACATAATCAAGTTTCAAAAATTAAAAAATTCAATGCATTCTAAGAAAATAAAAACTTTAAATTCTGACAGAATGTACTTGTTGACAATTATTCTCAAACATTCTAATAGAATACATCTGTATAAAATAAATTCTAATAGAATCAACAACAACTCATTCTTAAGTGCTTGAAGTTCATCCTCACTTGAACTACCATCAACGATAAAAAACAAATGCCGATTGAATCGTCAACACACATCTGTATTCGTTGCCAGTCAAGAACACAAGAAACAAACACCCATGAATTCTCCTGTCAAATACCAAACACCCATCTTCCCTTTTTGAATTCCCAACTAAGAAAAGTATTGTAGGATTTGAGTTGCAAAGACGGTAAGTGTCCATCAAAGCAGCAAAAATGGAGTTTGAATTGATACCCATGTCAGATAATTGTGTAAAAATTGATTTAGCAGAGGCATACATTCTTGATTTCACTAGTATATGAACAGTTATACAGTAAACATACGTGAGATTCTTGAGTTGTTGAAAAGCAGGTTGTTTGATTACACAATTGAGAAATTTTAAAGCTAGGTTTCCATGAACTGGCCTGAGGGAAACCCATTTATAGTTCATTTGAGAAGAAACCAGTAAGAAGAAGGTCGTAAAGAAATCAAACCTGATGATGAAGACGACGAGATTTCCATCATGGAAGACCACATGTTGGTGCGCTTGGAAGGAGATATGGCAGAAGTGAGGGGTCTATGGGTTATTACAATCCCAATTCATAGAGATACATTACAAATAGGTAGGTCAAATTAGATGCTAAACTTGAAATTGAAATCAAAATTGAAGCAAAGATGGATGAAAAGAGAGAAACATGGGCTTCCATACCCTAGAGGTGCGGGGTGCCGATCGGAGAACGAGAGATAGATGCAAAGAGGGAAACAAGCTTTAGGTCGAAAAAGGGTAGTAGTTACCCCTTGAACCGATTGTTTTTTAGAAAAAGCGTGAATTGGATGGTGATGTTATAGGATTGTGCAAACTGATTCCTAGTTCAATGGGATATTCTGTGGTGTGCATCGACTGGAAGAAGAAAGAAGAAATCGAGGTCTTCATCGGTTGTGTTGTGGGGTGTCGATCAGACGATCACCATAGCTGTGGCTCCGATTCTTTGTTCCAAACTTGTTGAATCGGTCAATATGTAATTCCTTGAATATATGACATGATGCAAGAGAGACTAGGTCAAAAATATTGTTTTTATTTCCTTAATTGCAGGATTTCAATTAAATGATTCCTTAATTAAAAAGTACAAAATGTCCAATATACCCTTAAATGATTTATTTAATTGTTTATTATTTCCTAAATTCCTATTGGTGCATTCATGCACTCAATAGTTGCTAGAAACATTTGAACCTAACCCTCTCTCTCACTCACTCACACTCTCTCTCTCTCTCTCTCTCTCTATATATATATATATATATATATATATATATATATGTATATATATATATATATATATATATATATTTGATAATAAACATTTTCTTTATATTTTTACTATTTAAATATCATTTCTCGATTGTTATGCTATCGCATCGTCTCAGAAATTTTTTGTGATAGTGCCTGCTAATTGTCTCATTAGTGATGATTCAAAAAACGCATATGGAATTCATTCCAGTATACCGAGCTCGATGAATTAACGTTAAACTTTTGTGATTAATAAGATCATAATCGACACATATTATGAATTTCATTTTGGTTGAGATTAAAAATATTATAAAAATGAAATAAAATAATAAACCGTATTCCAAGTTCAGAAACGTGCTCAGAAATAATTTACGAGGCTCGTAGCTTATCCCCAACAAAACTGTGTACGGTTTGTCTCATGAAAATTAGATAAATATTGATATTATAACTTAAATTGGCATAACTTTCTCATACGATCTCCGTTTTAGACGTTCTTTATATCCACGAATTTAGGAGAATGCGTTTTATTCAAATTTCTTATCCATAATTCTCAAATTTAGTTAATAGATTTTTTTTTGGCACGAATAAATTTGATTGTTGGTGATTTTCAATTCAATCTTCAATGATATATGGTTTGAGTAGCTTCATATGCTCTAAAACAAATTATGAATATAATATCTTTAATATATATTATAAACATAAACTTTCACACAATTGGTTCCTAACACATAGCTGTTCGCAGTGGTTTGACCGCCGAACTTTGACCAATTTTTACCAATTGTTACATTATCCCTCGTTGAAAGGAATTTCGTCCTGAAATTTAACGTGTAGATAAAATATTATAAAACAATTGGTGGCATTTTATTTTCGCTTGATCCACACATGATCATTTTTTAGTCATTTTAAGTTGCATAACCTAAGATTGGATACTCGGTTGAATAGATGGCTCTATTCTAAGCATGCAGGGGAAAATAAAATGGAATAAGACCGACTCAAGTATTTTAAAAGTTATCGAATTTTAAATACAATTCTACAGTGATGTATTTTCCCAAATATGAAACACTAGAATTATTTCTTAATATATTTCATTGAAAGATATAACAAGCATGTCATCAGACAGAAGCTCTTTAAAATTTGGTGCATGAAAAGTGTCGTGCATGCCGTTTAGTTCTCAGGGCAGCTGGATTTCAATAATTTGACCTAATTCCTATAAGAATTTCGAAGGTCCTTATAGTTGCGGCTTAACTTGACTCATTTTGTAAGCCAAATTATTCCTCTAAAGGAGAAGGCATTTTTAAGCTACATGGTCTCCGACTTGGATGTTGAACGGCTTACTTCATTTTTGCACATAATTATATTTTCGTTCATAACCAATCGAAAATCTTTCTCTGGTTCACACAATATTTTCTGTGATCTCGTGAGTGATTCTTGGATCGAAATGAAGTGTATCACTCACACACATTTTGTTCAATTTTGCATCTTCAATACTTGTTCAACGTATCGAGTATTGGTGATTGCATTGATATAAAAATTCAATGGTATGACCTTTATGTTGGCATGGAAACTATATTTCTAGGAAGATTCAATCAATGATAATGAGTAGTCCATGTATTATCCAAAATCTATCACTTAGGCTCGAAGCATTTCCCCTAAATTTTGGACATTCTTGACCATTGCGAATGGTAAGATGTGCTTATTCTCTAGCCATATCCAAGAGTTTTGATAATTGTTAAGATTACTAGGTGAATCCACCATCTTAACAAGAGATGATAGAGACTGGCACCTCGTATTCTGACTATATTCTCGACATAAGTCATGGTCATCTATTTAGTTAGTCTATTTCTTTTATTAATAGGAAGTGGGCGAAATTAGTTAACATGTGGACCATTACCTGAACAGAATCAAAACCATTAGGTTTCTTGGGTAGCTTTGGTATATAGTCCATTGACGTTGGTTCCCACTTTTATTTGAGTATTTCTTTATCATTACCCTAGTCTTGAGTGTTTCTGACATTCGGCATTTGGGACAAGTTTGTTATTTGTCCACTAAATTGGTAACCTCTACTTTCATGCATGCTCACCATTTCCATTTCTTTAGATATAAGCACATTAGGTTAAAGCCTGGATGGATGGGACGGTTTAGTTTGTGAGCTTTATTCAAGACTATCCTCATGTGTTCACTGTACTTAGGGTATAGATTTGTTTCATAAAGTATCACATCCCCTCATCCCTAAGTTTGACCCATTTATCCAATCTTCACAGAGCTTCTCTCGTGAAGCTTTTCTTTCTCAAATTATCGAGTGAAACTTCTCAAATCTAAGTTGTAGGTTGCGAAAAAATATTCATAGTTTATATTCAGCGTTTGGTATGTTTGCTTCGGCTCAAGACATTTGATATCATGTCAATCTCATTAAAATGTTATCAAATCTCATATGTCATGATGACAACAAGTTCTCATTTATGTCATTCAACCAAAAGCATAGGGAAAAACCTTGTCTCAGTTCATCTATGTGCACTTTAGTCTTTTATTTACATGTCGTCATACACGAACAAGTTCTCTGTTCTTTAATAAAAGTAGTATTGGTATATTACACCATAATTATTCCAACTTCTGGAATATAATCTCTAGCGTATCTTCTAGTTGGACATTGTTTCTTTTGGTGTTAACATAGTTGACAGTTAGGCTACCATAGAGAAGTTCCTGATGGACTTTTTGTAGTAGACAACATAAATTCTTTTGTTGTTGAAATTCCAAAGTTCATTTCTTGGGCATAATTCTTCACTTAAACTTCCACATTTGATTAAGTCCTTCAGTTTTGATCAAATCCTTCACCTTTGAATAAATCCTTCACAAGGTTTCTGAAATCACGGTGAGCTGAGAAGTTCACAACAATCCATCATTTTATTTTTAGGGTAGGAAGGATATTTTAGGTTTTTCTCCAACTTGACATCACAAATCACCATGGTTTTCTTGTGGGTAGATTTGGTCATACAACTTTCTTATAGTACATATCTAGAAACAATAGGGAGGTAGTCGATTCATCCCTATGATAATGTCGAAGCTTCCGCTTGGAGTTGGTATGAAGTCTATGAGTAAATATCGATCGCTCATGGTTACTTTATCATTTCAAGGGGGGTCGTATAATGACTTGACAACGATATTGGACTTTCGGTGATGTACGCACGAGATTTACATGAAAAACATGATTGAGTAGGTGTTAGGTTGAAATTTATTAAATTTTACAAGTGACATTTTGATAGTTCATTAGTTTTCTAAACCCTACAAGTTTCCTCCAATTTATTGGATTCATGACTTAGAATATGTTTAACTTAGGGTTCACGAAGATTCCTTTGCATAGATGGATTTCAAGTACTTCAGTATACAAGTGGTTAAGGAAAGACGAACCAGTTACTACTGATGGTTCTTGGATTTCATTCCTTGTTTCAATCACGATTGCCCTGACTCGAGCTGTTACCTCCTGATTCTTTAGTCTTGGTCATTTCTTCTCAAAATACTTGGTTTCTCCATTTACATAAAAAACTTTTATTTAACCAATGCTTTTCCTAATTTATGTACCTAATTTCTTGGTAATATACTCTTGTAAGCATCATCCTTAATGCTTCTCATGTCGTCTCATTAGCTGAGTCATTTGCCTCTAATTTTTGCATAGTAGTTTCACCAGGTGAGGTTAGTGTTCTTAAAGGTGTAGGTAGCAAGCCTAAACACAACAGTTTTCTATGCAGGAACGAGCATGGAATATTGATTTCATCTTTTCAATATAGAGCGTTGAGCCCATAACTCCTTCATTGTCGTAGAAGGATATGGGTTTGTAGTTCATGAGCTCTTCGTATGTACATGTGTTTGGTACATCACTATTATTTGCATGGTTGCTACTTTCAATCCTACTTAGTTCAGAGGTGTTGTTCCTGGTGACTTTGTAAGTGACCAAAGTGTTAACTACAAGTTGTTCATCATTAATTCGATCGTATCTATGTCAAGTGATTGTGATGGTCTTGGGTGATCACTCACTGATCTCTTGTGAGACATTACTTTGTCTCATTACAATTGGTTCAACGAGAAATAAGTCGTGTGAAAATATTGTTGTAAATGTAAGCGATAGTATTACAACTGTGTCAAACATGTAGAATTAAGGTGGGGTTTCCCGA